ATAACTCTCTTTGAAAAGTGTTTGTAAGCTTTAAAGACCACTTGGAGACAATGTATCATTGCAAAACTCTGTCTGTTCATGCCATGTCAATATTTACAGAAGCACCTTCCTAAAAGAATTAGGGCCATCTAAGAAATACACTTTAATTCGCTTAAACTAAATTACAGGTTTAACAGATTTGAGCAAAATGGGAAAATCTGACGCCGGGAAATGCTCAGATCATTTATGCAATTAAAAAAAAAAAAAAAATCAAACTAACATAAAAACCAGGTAAAGACCTGCAAAGAAGCAGTCTCATCAATATTTTATTTATGTTCTACTTTTCTACAAAAGCTACACACTTCTATAATGCAGCTCTTTTGTCACTGAACATATACTCTCACTAGTCCTGTCCGCTGAAATAAAACAAGCCATGACAGTTTATGAGTGAGTATATCGGGATTAGCTGGCAATCACGCACAGAAGTAAATAGGAAATAAGAGTACATAAGCTTCTCTTTGCTTCAGGTGAATTTGGCAATTAGAAAGTTTGCTAAAAAAACTTCGCAAAAGAAAACATCTCTGGTAGTCACTGAGACCCAGTTAGCATCATCTTTCCCAACTAAACACACCTCAGTATTGTGACCATGACTTATTTTCTTCCACCTTTCTTTTGATTTATCTGACGTATTTGGAACAATAAAGTTGAAAATATTATTCTTCTGGGGTGGAGAAGATTTGACCATTAATCACTGTTTTCCTTGTAATATCTGCCTTATGAAAAAAAAATATTTTATTGAAGACTCCTACAGCACTTCTGCCAATTCATCTTTCATAGAGAACCTCAGAGATTCAACCCACATCATCATATTAGAAAATCCTATATAAAACTTCTTCAAACTGTATTTTATCTTCTATTTTATTGGCCAAACCAAGTCTTTAGGACTTTTCCATTGACTAACTGATTTCGTCAACTGACTGCTCATTACTTTTCCTCTGAACAGTATTTTCAGATTATCCAGCTATTGGAATGATTTTTAACTAGAAACTTAATCCAATAAGAGGACCATTATCTGAAAGCCAACAAACTGTAAATATCAACTATTTCTGAATCAAGTAACCAATGTCCTAAACCACACTATAAATAGCCACAGCCATCTGTCTGATTTGCCCCTTCTCCTCATTACTCTAACTTGCCTATCTCCAAGGACACAATCTTACCACAAAGTCCGCCTGGTTTCACGCCTGCCTCTTGCCTCTCAGAAGCAGCAACAAGGGGGAAGATGACCACCCACGACCCCCCAGACAGCTAACATCACTAAATCTGACTTCCATAACCAGCCTCAAAAGCTTATCTATTATTTCCATCACATTCCTTCTATTACAGTTGTTCACTATCATTTAACTCCATTGTCTGTCATTTCATTAATTCTTTCCTTATTATTTGGGTGGTTTTGTTTTTCTTTGGGCAGCGTCTTACAAGGAATATTTTTAACACAGTTGTGTAAACACAAGTATATTGTATCCCCCCATTCTCCATAATTTCCTTGCAAACATTTTCAAAGGAAAGTTTACCTAGGAAAAATAATTTCAATGTAACGCTATCAGTTCCCACTACTCCGAAATGGTCTACTACGCTAAAGAAACACTTATCAGTTAGAAGAAATGAAAACTTTAGTAGTGGTGAGGGTAGGAGCTAGAAAATTCCTTAGCGGGACACAGGGTGTCTATACACACAGCTACACACAGCATCGCAGTTTGTTGCAATTTAGAACATTTGTGAAATGCGGAGACATGCCAAAGTCTGCAAACCAGCATTTTTGCCAGAAAAATGTTTGTCAGAAGCAAAACTTTCCACAGCAACATATGCATCGCTTGCAGAGGCAAAATTTCTAGTCAAAACAAAAGCCATACACACACACAGAGAAGCCTTCTGAGCTCACCCAGCCCAGAAGCAGCAGCGCTTTGTCGCTCGCTGGGACAGGGAGGCCATCGGCAGCGCTCAGCTCTGCGGGGGTCCCAGCCGCAGAGGCAGAGTCCCCACCACTCTCCCCCAGGGGTGGCAGATGGCTAATTAAAAGGGAAATAACATCCACAACGGAGAATCACCCCCAACCAGCCAGAAGACGTATGGTTTAGGCAAGACACCAACATGGAAGGCGTTTCAAACCCTGCTTGCCTCAAGCAAAGAGACAAATTTCAGTGCCCTGCATATTCATTTGATCAAACTCTTGGCTCTTTTGGGATGGGCTTGTCCAATACATAATGACAACTCTGAAATGCCTTGGGAACACAGTCCAGAAAAATGCAGAATGAAAAAATAATTGAAGTTTAAAACTTTTGCAGAACAGGAAACCCTTTCTTGTCAACTCTCCCAAGCAGCTGCAAGAAGAACCTAAGAAAAGGAAAACTACTCACTTCTGAAGAGATACAAAAATAAGTGATAATGACCTAAAACACAGTTTGTGAATACTAAAATGACGATTAAAAATGTTAGTACTTATTCTTGTGAATTACTTTACAGGGCATCATGGAAGTTTATTCTTAGGATAATTTTTCAATCTGCAGATGTCAAAGTACCATGAAACAGAAAGCAAGCATTAAAAGTGAAATATATAATTAGCAGATAAGCTGTATGAATCTGTTTTCATTCTGTTTTTAAATACACAGCTTATTAATGAAACTTGCAGAGATCTAAATATTGATATCCTCTTTCGCCCTGAATGAGGAAGATTATATAATAGAGGCAACAATAATTTGAAAGCAACAAGAAAAATAATTAGAAATTCAGAGTAAACATGGATATTTGGCAGGGAAAGCAAGATATAGGCACTTGATAGGAAGAGAAACCTTGGAAATGCAGTACTAGACTAGTACCTAAGAACAGAGAGTAAACTGCCTGGACCCGCCAACTCACGTATGCTATAAACTCCCGGAAAGAGGGGGGCGTGTGTGTCACCCAAACAAGCACCACATAACACAACAGAAAGGTACTCTACCTGAATATCACATTTAGTTCCACACAATTAATTTCAAGGAAAACAAAAAGATAAAAAAAAGAAGCCTAGAAGGGAAGAAGACAGGAAATCACAGTGAGACTGACTGACAAGGTGTTTTTCAGAGATAGAGTTTAGCTTAAACAGCCAACAACTATAGAGCAGAGACTAAGCACAGTATCACTGTGGCATAAAGTATCTGAAGTATTTAAATATCACAGCAGGTAAGAAACTGGAGATTAAAGAAAAAAAAGTCTACATAACCTAACAAGATGAATTGCAGATAAAAAGTGTGGGATACTAAGACAACCTTACAAAATGGGTTCTCTGTCACACAGCTTCCCAAGAGAGCGGATAATCTCACATTTAAATTTACATTGGATGAAAGACTAGTATAATAGAATGAAGAGCACTACGTCTTTATCTCGAGAGAGAGAAACTGACTGACCTGAAATTTCCATTATTCTGTTAAACACTTCCAAATATATGGGCCAACGAAAGGCTTCAGAAGCTACACAGAACCGGTTTTTAATTAACACTGCTCATCCTTCAGCTGTACATGTACATTTCTAAATGCCATCCTGTAGTTGCTGAACCCCGAGCACAGACCTCTCACATGGATTAAAGAACATTGAACCGCAAATGGTCACAGCAGACGTAAGCCTGATGTCTGCAGAAACAGCCGAGAATTTTGCACCTTTCTGAACATGACTCCACAGCAGATAAATGCTGTTACAGCTCATGGCAATTCCAGCCACAGCTAATTATAACTTTATTGAGATGTTTTGGCAAGAGCCAAAGGCGCTCAAGCAAACAACTTGTAATCGGGTTATATTCCCAGTTCTGCCACTGATAATGCATAACTTCAGCAAATAGTTTAAATACTCTACTTCTTTCCTCCGCTCTCATCCATAACACGTCCCAAGCTTTTGAGGGATACTTGGAGGAAGAGGAATGGCATTCTAGCCTCTGTATAGATATGCAAAGCGTCATTACTACTAACACAGTGGCAGAATTTCTTAGGTCCTATGAAACATACTATTTTTTTTTCTCCAAGCCAATTTTTGAGATCTATATCAGCCATGAAAAAACATCAAGATGAGACTCCACTGGATATGTGACACGTGATGTTCTTCTTGCACATAGCTAAGCTAGTTACTTTCTACACAGTATTTACTGGATGCAGTGAATAGAAACATGATTCAGTTACTAATCAATTTCTCATTGAACCACAGAAGTTAAAATAAAAATTACTCTTTAGTCCTTAGGACCACTTCCTTTAAACTCCCACAAGGGAACCCCCCATGAAGAATGCCACATCTGCCACCCGTCTCAGAGCAGTTGTTTGATGTTATCATAGAAAGTAAGTTAAAAAGATGACTTCTCTACTAATTAAAAAAAAAAAACAAAAAAACAACAAAACAACAAATGAAAAACAGAGAAGTGGTTCGCATTGCTAAACAGGCTCAAGATTCTCTTGACAAAAATGGTACTTTCAAGGAAAGACACAGAAAGAAGAGAGGTGGACAGGAAGGAAGAGACAAAGAAAGGAGACTTAGAAAGGAAGCCAAGTAGACACTCTTCAGTCTCAAACATGGCCAACTGAGGAGCAAACACCGGGCTGCTGGCAACGTGGACAGCGCGAAGGTTTACAACAGAGATTTTCTTGTGAAGAGAGCCAAAGAGGAACAACAACGGAGGCTGCGTTACCGACTGTTATTAAAGTTAACGTAAGGAGCCCGTCACTGAAGTTATCTGACAGCCCTGGCTCCGGGCCAGCAGTTCACAAGTTCTTTAACCACAAGATCCCTATCAGCCCTTTAGCGCATTAATGAGCGTATCCAACCCCGCCGCTTTTCAACCGAAAACACGACGTACTCGCGCCCCGCAATTACCGAAGGACTCGGCAGCCCGTCCCGCAGGCCTGGCCCCAGCTTGGGGAA